CGACACACCTGGACTTGGAGGATAAACTCAAAAAACGCTTCAAATGCTGGGAAATGAATTTGTCCTGTACGTGGTTTATTTATTTTTAAACACCAAAGGGAAATGATCATGTAGGGTGGAGGTTAAAGTGTGCATTTAATGTGGAAAAGGGAGATTGTGCGTTTAATCTGTTTGTTTACATTTTTACTAGTGTGTGTGTGTGTTTTAGGATTTAACCGATTCTTGGTGGCTCACTCACTGCTGTTCCTGCTCATACTGGGCTTCATTGTCAGTGTACTGTAAACACTACTGTGTGCTCTACCCAGCCGAACCGCTGCCGCGACTGCTATTAAAAGGGAATATGTTTGAATACTGATCAGAATTTAAGTCCAGACTTTGTTGTCTTTTATTCATAATTTGTGTTTGCTGATTTATGGTTTTTTGTCGCTGTTCCTCTTTTCTTTTGTCCTCTCACCTCCCTGCTCCTTCAGCCTGGCTCTGTAAGAGTTCTTTTCCTGTTGAAAGGGAGCTCTTCCTCCCCGCCATTGCCAATTGTTTTGACATAGGGGATCATCTCATGGTTGGGAATCTTTTTCTACTATTGTAAAGGATTTTTCCTGTGAAGACTGCTTTGGTAGTATGGGGTATTACTTAGCCTTGTTGTCACGTGTTCTTCCGTCCTTGTACGACCACAGTGCAAGCACAGTTCTCATTTCCAGCAATAAGTCAAATTAGGCCAGTGTGACTGGAACTTTTATGGACAAAGATTTGTAGGCAAAGTCAAGGAGATGAAGTTGTAGACGTTGGAGATCGCATCTTTGCTTTTTTGTGAATGGCGTGGTCAACAAACGCTCACTATACTGCCAAAGGTATTCACTCAACCATCCAAATAATTGAATTCAGGTGTTCCAGTCACTTCCATGACCACAGGTGTATAAAATGAAGCACCTACACACGCAGACTGTTTCTACAAACATTTGTGAAATAATGGGTCACTCTCAGGAGCTCGTGAACCGTGATAGGATGCCACCTGGGCAGGAAGTCCAATCGTGAAATTGTAAGTAGGTCACCTACTTTCTGCAGTCGGTTGCTACAGACCTCCAAACTTGATGTGTCCTTCAGATTAGCTCCATAAACGGTGTGTAGAGTGCTTCGTGTTTCCATTTCCGAGCATCTGCATCCAAGCCTCACATCACCAAGCGCAACGCAAAGTGTCAGATGCAGTGGTGCAAAGCACCCCGCCACTAGACTCTCGAGCAGTAGAGTGATGGGAGTGATGAGTCACTTCTCCATCTAGCAATCTGATGGACGAGTCTGAGTTTGGTGGTTACCAGGACAACACTACATGTCTGACGGCATTGTACAAAGTGTAAAGTTTGGTGGAGGGGGGATTATGGTGTGGGGTTGTTTTCAGAAGCTCTTAATCGTTCAACATACCAAGACATTTTGGACAATTTCATGCTCCCACCTCTGTGGGAACAGTTTGGACATGGCCCCTTTCTGTCCCAACATTACTGCGCACCAGTGTAGAAAGCAAGATCCATAAAGACTTGAATGAGTGTTTGGTGTGGAAGAACGTGACTGGCCTGCACAGACTCCTGACCTCAACCCGATGGAAGACCTTTGAGATGAATTGGAGCAGAGACTGTGAGCCAGGCCTTCTTGTCCAACATCAGTGTCTGACTTCACAAATGTGCTTCTGGAAAAATGGTCACAAATTCCCAGAAACACTCCTAAACACTGTGGGAAATCTTGCCAGAAGGGTTGAAGCTGTTATAGCTGCACACTGCGACTGGTCTGTTGTGGTGAAGAAAGGGCAAATTTGTTGTTTCATGGTTTTATCTATGGCCTCGAGCTGTGGCTAGTGACCTACAGAATAAGATCAACAACTTAGTGTCTTCCCCAAAGAGGAGAAGGCTCAGAGGGAGGTCTGAGAATCATCTCTGCTTGGACTGGTGTCCCTCCAACCTGGATGAGGGGTAGAAGATGGGAGGATGGATTTTGTAGGATCTGTAGTTAGATTACAAAGCTCCTGAGACAACTGCTGATTTGAGTTTTTGTCATAGAAGTAAAAATAAAGTTAATTAAATTGATGATCCAGAGTTGTTGGTTTTTATTTTTTTCTAATTTTAATTTTCTTATGGGAAGCACAGAAGCAGTAATCTAATACATCTCTAAGAGGATCCAAAGTCTTATAATTACCTTATAGAACATCGTGACACAGAAAACCCATTTGGAAAAATACAGCAGCATTTAATTTATAATATTGTGCAAGTAAAAATTTAAAAAAGTACAAGAACTGCACTGAATTCCACGTCATGTCTTCTAAGTACTGAGTGTTCACAAGCTATTTTAGGCCTCATTACACTTTTGGGTCAGTGGTTCAGTCGTCTGCAGGCAACACAGCACTGCTTGCAACTGCAACTGTTTGCCATAAAAAGTCTCTCCAAACTGTACTCATAGCCCTGATTTCCAGTGTAATTTCTCATCAATCAAAAAAAAAAAAATTTAATTAACCTTTAGTAAAGCAATTTATTTTCCATTCAGGATAAAATTCCAACATTTCTACATGTGGATATTGAAGGGTGCTGATTCAAAGGGAAGCAATAATTATACAAAGAATATTTTTTAATTTTCTAAATCTATGTAATTTAGAATTTTTAAAACAAAAACGTAAATCTCTTAAAAATAACTGATACCATTTATATGTAAAAACATGAATTGTATTTTAATCTATTTTGTCTGTAGTCAAATGTGATGATTTATTGGCTATAGACGCCCCAAATTAGATAAATAATGTTGTTGTTGTTGTTATTATTATTATTATTATTATTATCATCATTATTTATTTTCACAGTTAGTGACTTGCGTGAATAATGTATGCATATTCAGACCTTCTGGCTCGCTACCCAACGCAACGGGCGGCAAAACGTGCCTTCTTGAGAGTCTCGCTGACGAGCGCGATGATTGGACAGAGGTATTTAGAAGGTGGACACGAAGACGCAACGTATGTCTGTGAAGTCGCTGAATCGAGGCCACATAAAGGAAGTTTGCCTTCCTAATAAAAGCAGAACAATTGCGTGAGGTTTCGTTTTTAAAAGAAAATCTACTTTGTATTGTGAGATTTTCTATTTAATTTTTTCTGATTACAATTTATGCACAATTACCACGTATAAACGGGTAAAATATGCATTTGCCAATGTCATAAATAAAGTAAAACTTTATTTAGGAAATTCCAACCGGATGTGTGAGCGCTTTGTTGCTGTGTTCCGGGATCTATATCCCAACTTGGAAACAGGCGCTCGGCGAGAGCTACTGTAAATTTGGTGTTGTTGTGGCACCAAAGCCTCAGAAAGACTATCGTTTATGTGATTTATGAGATGTCGCGTGACAGAAACGCGCGTCGTCGTCGTCGGTAAAGTCAGAGCGCTGGACAATGCTAACCGGTTAGCTCAAGGTGGTTGCTAGCTGGCTAAGGAAGTTAGCCAGTTAGCTAGCAATCCGCCTGCCGGAGGCTGTTCTCTTGTTTCGCGCATTTCAAGTCTGTTAACCGCCCTCACCAACTGTTTAACCTGTTCCTCATCGAGAGCGTTAAGCCGGAGTTTCGCCAATGACAGATATAAAAGAGGAGAAACTTTACAAATCGTTGTGTAAAATGGGGAGTAGGCGGTGTTTCTCCTGAGCGGCTGATTTTTCTGCCACTGCTGCTCTTTTGTTTTCACAAAGGAAGAGGAGCCGCATTTCTTTATCATTTTACACCACCTCGCATTTGGTGGTGGGAGAGTTTCTTTGATCTTTCTCTTATTTTTTTCACTGTTGTAATGGCTCCTCACAAGCAGAGCCATCCGGTGGGCTTGGGCTCTGGAGGTAAACCCAATGGGTTGTACCACCACCAGCCGTCCTCCGCCTCGATGGCTGCAGCCAAGAAGCCCAACATGCAACTTATTCAAGCCGACCACGAGTTGTTCCTGCAGGCCTTCGAGAGTAAGTTACTGCTGTCATCGGGTTGCATGTATAAAGTGTTAATTTAAGCTTATAGGAAGCTTTCCCGCGGCTATGTGCATGCAGCGGTAGCAGGAGGAAGAGAGCTGACTTAATGCCGTACTTTTATTATTATCTACAAACCGGTACTGTACACAGTAATTCTAATCAAGGCCTGTGTCCATTTACTCTTAACTGCATGTCCTGGAGGGTCATCACACTCAATGTTACATCCTGAAACTTGTGTCAGAGAGACCCAGACAAACCTAGTAATTAATATAGTCTCTCTGCTGTTGCTTTTAACTTTCTCTTTCTGCAGGATTGTTGTTAACTTATTTATAATTCATAGTTCTAAGTTTTCATAATTCAGTAAATGTCAAAAGCTGTGCTTCCAGATGTCTTTTTTTTTAAACTTTGAACAGTCAGAGTAGCTGTGAAATGGAGAAAAATTCCCATTCTTGAAGGTTCAAGTGGCAAATGTTTGGTACTTTACTTGAAACGAAACTACGTGACGATGCACTGATAGTGATATTTAAAATGGATCCATAGCATGTGTTTTGAAAATGGTCTTATTTCCCCTTTTATGTCATAGCAAGTAAGAATGTTTTAAAGGTTTTTAGCTTCTAGTTACACCATATTTGGATATTCAGTCAACTCAGAACTGATGTGGCAGGGTAGATAAACTGAGGTAGTCGGAAAAAAAATATCACTGGGTATGTTGGTGCAGTTCTAGTGAATAATACATGAATTAATGTTCTGACATTTGGACTGTTTATTTGCAGAACCAACCCAAATCTACAGGTTTCTCCGCACAAGAAACTTGATAGCTGTAAGTTTTTAACTTCGTTAAACTTAACAGTTCAGATAGTCTCTACGTTTCATAAATTACTGATGTGTATTTAAAAAAACATTGTTTTTCTGCTTTTCAGCCCATCTTTTTGCACAGGACACTCACTTACATGTCCCACAGAAACTCAAGGAATAACGTCAAAAGGTAAAAACTCAGATTGTTAACAAGCTTTTTTGTTTTGGGTTTTTCTTTTTTTTACAATTTTAGCTATAATTTTTCTTTTCCTTTAATGCATCTCAATGTGATTCATGTGTAGATCTTGTGTTTTTTCAGCAAAAATTGTACTTGTCACTTTCTCGGGTTTTAAAGTTTATTGAAAAAGTTTGACTGTTAGAAAGAAGGTCAGTTGTTATCATGAGTGAGAGCTAACTGACACGTGGAGGCCGCCTCGATCGGTTAAAGCTGAGATAGGAGAAGGTTTTTTCAGTTGAGCTGCTTTGCATACAGACTCTGCAGGGGAAGGGGAAAAAAAGATCACGCTGATACACATGAGGCTGTCTGTGGTTCAGACGACACACCGAAGGATTGTATTGGATTACAAAGGGCATGTCACAACTTCTGTTATGTTGCAGGACATGCATTTTATTTTGCAGACCTCAATAAGTGTTTAAAATGGTGCAAGTGACAGCTGCAGCTGAGCTGCCTCCAAACGTCTCTCTTGTGGTACTTTATTTAGCTTTTTGTTAACAGGGCAGATTAATCATGGATTTAGTGTTAAAGAAAGGAGTATAGAGATGAAGTTATTCAGCATTTAACTGAGACACCTATTAACATGTGACAGGTAATAATGTTGTATAAAGCACTGAGTGCTCAGGTAGAGTAGAAAAGTCATATGTGAGAACCAGTCCATTTACTATAATCTAACTTTAAAAGTTATATCAAGTTAAGTCATGATTAAGCTGTTATTGTTGAATGTTTTGGGGTTTTTTGTTTAACGTGTTTGAGGTTTTTAACCCAATTTAATTGTTAAAAAGATGCTGTCACTTGTTATTTGTGTTTTAAGCTCTACTATGAGGTTAAACACATTGTTTTCTGCTGGTTTTTGGATTTTTGCTTCTTCTCTCTTTGCATGACAGTAGTTTTCTCTTGTTGCTGTGGACTTGTTGGCCGTTAGAGAGTGTGTGTGTTCTTGATTTGAATTGGAGGTTTTGAACCAGGTGTCTGCTGCTGCTCAGCTCAGTTTCACTTTGCGCTGCAGTGGTGCATGCTTCAGTCACATGAAACGCAACTTGTGATTTGAGATGAAGAGACTCAGGGCCACGCCACAGTTATTGACTGTTTTATTTAAAGCATTAATAACCAGAAGATAAGGAAGCAGGAAACCAGCAGGGTTGTTAAATGGTTGGATTATCAGAACCTGAAGTTCATGTAACTCGTTCTACACAGAGGTGATCTTTGGGTCTGCGCCCAGCTGAGTTTGCAGTCTCTCTCTCTGCAGCAATAAAATGTCTGAGCAGGACACAGTTTCTCTTGTATGGCTTCTTGGAAAAGAAGGGGGTACACAGCCTGCCTTAAATGTACAGGGTCTCAGGTATTTTGGCTCATTTTGTGTGTTTAACCCTAAAGATACCAACCAGGCTGTTGTAGCTACTAAAACATTGGGGTATAGTATCTGATACTGGAATTTTTAAGATGAGCATTAATGGAGCCATTCTGTCATTTTCTCTGGTCATTAATGATGATTTAAATCGTTATCGTAATAAGGATGTACAAAATTATACTTGTTCCTGTTTAGGTTATAGTTATATTATTGTTACATATTTCCATGATTATAGAGAAAAATAAGATTCGAAGACTTACTACCGAACTAATCACATCTCTACAAATAGTCGGTATTTATAGTTTAGACCCTTCTTCTTCATGACTTCTAAAATCGTTGGTAGCATGCTCAAGATCAGCTTCTGGGGCAAGTCTTATTATTGGTGATCCGTTCCTTCCTCCAGAGCTCCAAGTTGATCACAGGTTTGTAACTGATTATTGCTAAAAACTCAAACAATCACCAGCTTCTTCCAGCGATCCAGGAGGAGTTTGGTTGAAATTAACATTTCAACAGATCTTAATCCAATCGAAAATCTATGGGCAGACTTTAAAAGTGATCGGACAAGCAGGAGGCCACAGTCTGATAAACTTGGAGCTCTGATAAGGAACAAATGGATCAACATCAATCAGGAAAGGAAAGCCCAAAGTTTCAATGTTTATGTCCTGTATACAGTTAAGATGCCAAATAATGGAAGAATAACCAACAAGTTGAAAGCCTATAAAGTTTCAGAAAACATTTAGTGCATCAGTCACTGAAAAGTTCTAAAGTAAATTTAAAAATCCATAGCAAACCATATAAATGACTGGGCTCGTCAATTAAGTTGAAATTTCCTGTAAGCAGGAGCATTTCCATTAAAATAATAGCTTGAATGTTACAGTCCTGTAGCAGCAGTGTGGTGCTGGATGCTTGGCGGCGTATAGATGTTAATGGTTTTTGTAGTTCCCTCTGCAGCGGTCATTAAAGTGAGACTGCTTGGGCCTGAAGACAGCCTACAGATGTGATGGTTACCTCACAGCTGTTCTCAGTTACTTTGGCTCATTAGAGTACAGCTCAGGTTAAAGCTGGACAGGACTTTATTTATGTTAGCTCTCCAGAGTACATGCGCTACAAAACTCAAACGGTGTGCAGCCATTATGAGCTGGGGGGACGTGCTTCTCTATTTAATTTTATTTAAGAACACATCAGGACTTGCCAGCGATGCTGACTTAAACTGGCAGTTGAATAAAATACTTTCAAGCAGACACACAAACCAAAACGTCAGTGTCGTCATCCTTCTGCTGATATTAATTCAATGTCATACCTAATACCTCTTATTGTGCGTTCACACCATTTAAGAGTTTTGTCAGCCACGTCGTTTAAAGTGCCTTTTCCCTCACTTCACTCGAGTCTAAAAGCTCAAAGACAAAAAGTTTATCTCAGCTTTTAAAGATCACTGATGGCCTTTACCTTTCTTCTTCTTCTTCTTCTTCTTCTTCTTTTTTTTAAAGGGCACCTACTCTGCTAATTTGTTTTCATTCTTGGACTGTTAAAACAGCTTTGCATGATTCACAGTTCAAAATAATCCTCCTTTATCTTACACTGAGCCTGGTGCAGTCTTCAGTGAATCCTCTGTCTGATTAAAAAGCTTGCTTCCCACTCCCAACAGTTTTTTTTTTTTTTAAATATATAAATATTATAAGATATTATCAACAAAACAGTTCAGTTTTAAATGAAGCATATTTCCGTTTGACAGTTGTTATCTACCAAAGGAAATGCAATTATTCAACTACCGTAAGTTTCACCTCTTATTTTTCCCCTGGCTGTCCGTGACCCGTCAGTGTGGGCTGCAGCACCGTTTTAGAACAACGCCTTTTTGTTTATGTCACAAAACGCTGGTTCGTATAAACAGAAAATTAACGGCAGAAACCTCAACAATCAGATGATCTCCTGTGAGCAACACTTGGAGAAGGTGGTGAGAAAGAACTCCATTTTGACAAGAACGAGACTCTGCCTCGCGTCCTACTTTTAGAAACTCCAGGAAACGCGTATAAGCCTGCACAGAGGTAAGTGCTGGTACTGTGTGGTCTTTGAGACGGGGCTGGGCGATATGAGGAAAACACAAAATCACAATGCTTTTTGGCTGTATCGCGATACACGATATATGTGTAACCAACCCTAACCCTGTTTAACTAAACTCCAAAAACAAAAGTTACTTTCAGCCATATATTTTACTACATGAATAGAAACGCTTTATTTTAACCATTATTTTGAACCATCAGTTGCCCACAGAGGTTTTCTCTAATGACGACACTGTCACAGTGAACCTCGTTCTGTGGTCAACACCAGACCTTTAACAAACAGAAGATCATAGCAACAAAAAAAGTACATCAAGCAAGATTTGATGAGAGAAAATAAAACGACTGAATTTAAAAAGGTGCTTTTTTGTGCTTATAACATGTACAAATTGTAAAGTTAAAAAATATGATCACCTCGATTACAAAAACAAAAGTCTAGACAGTGACTATAAAAACGACTGACCTAGAACAGTCACCGGTATCACAGCTCATTTATTTAACATTGGCGTTGACAGGCAGCGGTTAAAACGGCCTTACCTTTGCATTGGATGACTTTTCAGCTGGTGGGATATTTTGTGGTACTTCTACTTTTTGCAGCATGTTTTGCAAATTACCGGATTTTGTTCGGCGTCATCCTCGTGGAATCCAAGCGACAGCGAGTTTCATTCCCTCTCGTCTGAATCTGGTAGTATATAAGTGCCTGCTCAGCACAGTGTGCTGGACAGAAAGTCACAGTGAATTACATACAGACAGCTTAATATTGTTTGGCAATTTATACTTGATGGTTACGATAAAGCCATTTTAACCATCGTACGCAGAAAAACACAGTGAATTCGATATATCGCCCACCCCTACTTTGAGATGTGATCGTTCAGGACTCTGAGTGTGAGGAGGAAGATTTTAAATGACAGAAGCTAATATTGAGAGGTGTCGTTAGCCCTTATAAGAAAAACGAGTCATTCAATCTGCCTGCAGCTGTAGAACCCCGGGTGTAGTGTGCCGTAATCCAGATTACGTCCTTGTTCCGAGGACAAGAACCTGATCTTCCTCCAGAAACAAGACGTTTGCCACTGAGTTTCTGCATGTTTGGACTTTCTGGTTGTACGATTGCTAACTGCTGCCGTTTGTCTCCATGTGCAGGAAAAATTACAAGGTTGACAATCTTCTGTTCAAAGTGGAGAAGATGAGAGGGGAACAGGAGACTCACAGGTAAGCGCTCAGTCCTGCAGGACTCTCTGCTTTCCATTCCAAGCTTCTAGAAAACATTTAGCTCATTTTTGTTTATCAAGTGACAAAATATCAGTAAAAAGTTCACCAGCTACATGTGGAGCGATCCTGCTGAGGTACATAGTCACTCCACACCTAAAAGCCCATTTTTAGCAGGAAAACAGTGCTGTAGCAAAAAGAGATTCTCAAGTTTCACATTTTTATTTATTTGATGCTGCTTTCTCTGGCACCAGCACGCCTCCTTTTATAGCTGCGAACTTCACAATGTTTGGTTTTAAAAATATCTCAGAACGTTTTCCCCTCTTCTACAGCTTGGCCTCCAATCTTCAGCTCACCTTTACTGGCTTCTTCCATAAAGCTGGTACGTTTTTCCATATCGGCACTTTGTTTTATCGTTTCCACTGATCCCACTGTGACTAACAGGAAATCTTTTGTGTTGTTTGTTTACAGGAAAACTCTCTCAGGACAACGAGAACGAGCAGAACTCGGTGTCTCTGGAGGTGCTCCTGGTCAAAGTCTGCCACAAGAAGAGGAAGGTGTGTGTCATGAATTTCCTCTGCTGGTTTTCTACAGCTTGCACGTCTAAATGAAACACATGAAGTTTCCTTTTCTTGCTTCCTGTGTAGGACGTGAGCTGTCCGGTGAAGCAGGTCCCCACGGGAAAGAAGCAAGTCCCTCTGAACCCAGACACGAGCGCCGGGGTCCAGGCCAAGCTGAGCTCCTACCCCTCCCTGCTGGTTCCCAGCAGCGAGTTTGAACCCAGCAACTCTCACATGGTCAAATCTTATTCGCTGCTCTTCAGAGTGTCACGCCCCGGGCATCCACGAACACAGATCAACGGGCTTGCTAATGGCGAGATTCACCACAGCAGAGGTGGGCAGAGTGGGTTATTGGGTGGGTCTTGTCTCTGCAGCTTTGCAAAAGCTTGACGGAGCAAGACAAACCAAGGACAAGAAAATGGGATTGTAGCAAAAAGCCAACTTGCTTTGTTTGCCATCCGATCATGATTAAGTGCCTGGAGCAGAAAGGTTTTTCATCCCCTGCAATGAAAAAGAAAACATGAACTAAACTATTGGAGAAAATCCTGATTTAGGCCGTAAACTGGGATAGTGAAAGGAAGCAGGATTTGACTTTGGTTTCAAACACTGAAGTTAAAGCACCCCTCACGTGAGTCCATGACAGTTTTGCCAGTATTGGTGGGAAACTGTCACAGGAAGTTTTTAACCAGTTACTAGTGTCAGTAGGGCTTAAATCATCAGGGGACAGGAAATGTGTCATATGTTTTGGTAACACACATTGAGCCAACTTTGGTTGGATCCAATCAGAATAGCAGCGAGTAGAATTACGAGTTTAAACCAACTTCTTAGATGCCAAAGAGTCCTCCCTTTGCTTAACGACTTCAGATTTCTTATTGGTCTGCAGTGGAAATTATCAGATGTTAGGAGGTGAGACTGTTGTACGGCAAGTCTTGATGTAGTTCAGGGATGTTTTGAGTTCGTTTATAGCGGGTCCTTCAGACTTGATTCACTCCAAGTTTTTAGTTGACCCAGTTTAACTTGCAGAAGATTATTATGGCTGCTCTATCTATGTCTATATTTCTTCAGCTGTTTGAACTTAAAAATTAAACACAGTCACCCTCGTAGCTCCACATCCGTGCAGAAAACGAGGGACGGTTTGGCGGAGCAGAGGTTCATGTCACCGTGTGTCTTTTTCAGACTTTTCAGAAGAAGCTGTGAACAGGAAAAGGAGGAGCTCTGCTCTCAGGGAGGAGGGAGAAACCACATTTGTAGCTCAGATGACAGTCTTTGATAAAAACAGGTGAAAGACACACACACATACACCGACGCGCACACACAGTAGCACCTTTTGGCACAGGAAAGAAAAGGTGTCATTGCAGCGTTTGTGCAGCAGAAGTGAGAAGACGTTGTCGTGTACTTGCGTGCAGGCGTCTGCAGTTATTGGACGGCGAGTACGAGGTGTCCATGCAAGAGATGGAGGAGTGTCCCGTCGGTAAGAAGAGGGCGACCTGGGAGACCATCCTAGATGGAAAGGTGTGTGTTTGTGTGCGTGAACCAAGTAACCCTCAGTTCACACAGCTGATCTGTGTAGTGAAACCCCGTGTTTGCTCTGTTTTTGCAGCGTTTGCCTCCGTTTGAGAGTTTCTCTCAGGGTCCGACTCTGCAGTTCACACTGCGCTGGACCAGCGACTCCGCCGATCATTCCACCGCACCCGTGGCCAAACCGCTCGCCACCCGCAACTCCGAAACCAACCAGGACACCCGACCCAGCACCCTGAGAGCCACGCACGCACCAGGTGAGTGTAGCACAGATAATGTGTGCTGTGTTTCAGCACACGCGTCAAACTCGTGTTTCATGTTGATTATATCCAGGATGATCTAATATTTAGAGTAAATTATGACGTGCTAGTAACCTGCATATGTTTGGCCCTTTTCCCAGTGTGGCCCTCAGTAAACTGACCTATAACATCAGCAGTGAAAGTGTTGCTGTTTTTCTTCTGCAGCTGTGAAAGAGTCGGTAAATACAGATGTTCAAACCAGAAGAGAACAAGTCTTATCTGAGCCTCGACAGAAACTACGAATCTTCTACCAGGTCAGTCCGTACCTGCTAACGCTGCCGTTTCTCCCACAGACTTCAGTCATTTCTGTGACCCTTAAATGTCATTGTGGATCTTTTTTTTACACACATCTGTAATTTTTCTATGATGGATGGATACTTTGTTGATCCCACAAAGGATCCTTATGCCCATTGTTACAGCAGGAGCAAGTGGTGAGGGCTTTATACTGTGACAGTGCAAAAACGTACACATGTGATAAGAAAACAAAGAAAATAAATGATAAAACTGATTTTAGGAAGAGTAAAAAGTAAGACTGAGAGTGCCAATCCCATTAATAGATAATATGTACACTGTACAAGAAGGAATAATACAGAAGTGTGTGTGTAATCTTACACCTGACAGGTGTGTTCACCTGTGACAGAGTTTTATAGAGAACAGTAGGAATGATTTCATGAGCGTTACTCGAGGCTCCCCACAGCCTCATTCAAAGGCTTTGCACAGCTGCTGTCTGTGCTGATGGATGATGGACACCTGATGGACATCTGCTGTCTGTAGTTTCTCCACTGCTTCGGCTCTCCCCCCGTGAACAATCCAGTGAAAGAGAGACTGTGTGTTACAGATGGTTAGAAAAGTTGGACACTCACAGATTCAAGCGTGAGTGAACTGTATGAACGGAGCTCACTTCAATTTACAAAACAAATTTTCAGCCTGGCCTCAGAGGAAAACATGAAGTTATCACGAAAAGGCAAATTGTCCATGTTCGTTGACACAAAACGCAATTTTTATTTTGGCCAGCACGACTTTCTAATGCGCGTCAACAGGAAGTATATTTTCTGTCTGGGGCACATGTATATCCTACCAGTTAATGTCAGTCTACACCTGAGCACAGATGGGGTAAAAGATGTGGTATTTTTGTGTTGTTGCATTAGCATTAGAATTGGTAATCCCTTTTCTTGGGCGTCGGGAATCCCTGTGGTGAGTTTAGGTGAGATAAAATGACCCAAAAACCACCGATGAGGTGTGACAGCGAAACAAAGGAGTGCCGAGATCAAAGAGACACGGTGGGATTTATGAAGGCCGCTGCATGTCGATTCAGACCTCCGGAGAAATGGCAACGGGATGTGAATTCCTCGTCAGAGATCAGCGAGTCTGTCGCTTCTCAGCAGCTGAGATCACACTCTGTTTCTTTCTTTCCTAGTTTCAATACAACAACAACACACGGCAGCAGACCGAGGCCAGGGATGACCTCCACTGTCCGTGGTGCACGCTGAACTGCAGGAAGCTGTACAGTCTCGTCAAACACCTCAAACTGTCCCACTCCCGCTTCATCTTCAACTACGTGGTGAGAGATGTACACCAGCTGTTGCTCATGTTTTGCACTGCCAGTTTGACCAAAGCTTTCCTACCAACCAAATTCCTGTTCTGTCAGACATGTTTCTAAGGTAAAAATGTCTTCGTGCAGATGTTGCCCAACATCAGCTTACCTGCTAACTTGGGTAGATTACTTGATATCTAGTGCAGCAGCCACATCTGCGTCAGTCAGAGCTAATGTTAGCTCTAGGAAAGGAAGAGAAGCACAGATATCCCCAGGATCATAAATCCTTTGGATTCAAACAGTCGACACGCTGTTGGAGTCAACACGAGCATCGAGGAGCGTTTCATTTTTAAGTTCTATTACAACCTGATGAGCGTGCTCCACAAGGCTTAGAATCAAAGCTAAGAACAAATAAAATCAAAGATACCAGTACTTTAAAAACATCGTACAATGTAAAACTTGGGGGTATCATCAGTATTTCTTATTTAAATTCAGCACTGAGATCTTTTAACATATTGTCGAGCGTGTCCTTTAAATATGCATCTCTGATCTTTGGCAGCCCCATCCCAAAGGAGCAAAGATTGAGGTCTCTATCAACGAGTCTTACGATGGGTCGTATGCAGGAAATCCTCAGGACATCCACAGCCAGCCGGGCTTCGCCTTCAGCAGGAACGGCCCCGTGAAGAGAACCGCCGTCACCCACTTTCTGGTCTGCAGGTACCCCTCCAACTTCTCCTCTACCTTTATATTTATTTACATGCTGCCGAGGGCGACAGGAACTCCTGATCATCCTCTTCCTGTCCTCTCAGACCCAAGAGGACAAAGCCGAGCCTGTCGGAGTTTCTGGAGTCTGAGGATGGCGATCGGGAGGCGCAGAGGACGTACATCAGTGGACACAATCGCCTGTACTTCCACAGCGACAGCTGCCTGCCGCTGAGGCCCCAGGAGATGGAAGTGGACAGCGAGGATGAGAGGGACCCCGACTGGCTCAAAGAGAAGACTGTAAAGGTGAGCTCGAGCCAGACGAGCGAACACAGGAATGCTCCTGAGGAGGAGGAAGAAGCCGGGTATAAAAACAGTAGAAAGCTTCATTGGATCGGTATTCGATATCAACACAGTTTGAACTGTAAAAAGTTTGATTGGTGTGTCCCGGCTCTCTCAGTCTGGGATTGGAAATTTAATAGTCATGAAATGGAAAAATCCAGGATAACCCTGTTTCCATCTTCACCAAATTCAGAGAAACAAATACGCTTCCAATAATCAAACAGCGATATTGAAACATTTGCTTTCTCCTGCTTCTGAAAAGGAGAACATTTGGAGAGTAAAACATTTCGGGTTGTTGTTCAGACGAAACAGCCAGTTTTTGTTGAAGATGTCACCTTGATCTCGACTGTTTTCTCTGATCGTTAAAAACCTCTGAAGGATTCAGACGATTCAGCAGACGCTCGGGCTTCTCTCCTCCTGTGAACGCCTTCTGCTTCTCGTGACTGTGTTAACTATGCTAACTTTTCCAGATTGGTGTGAGGGTAACAGAAGTCAGCGTGGACGTTTCTGCCGCTGGCCTATTGATGTCAACATTAAAGCTCCCATGACTTAACAACCTGTGACTTAAAGCAGGTTTTATAATGAACGATAAAAAAGATTTCAACACACACACACCGTTTACAAATGGTTGTTGTGTTCTTGCGTTTCTTTGGTCGTTTTGGGGAGGTTTTCTTTTTCAAGTTTTCTCTGTGATGTTGGACTCCAACCTGCATAAACACTATAGACTGTATGTAAAAGATGGATGTAACCCCGTGGTTTGAAGAATGAAGCCAGTGCAGAGGTGTCTTAAATCTGCAGGGGCAGCTCCTCTTAAATCTGATGTGTACAGAACTCTGAGGAAAACGACCCTATTTGTAACTCGAGTTCTGACTTCAGTAAATGCTTTGCTGAAGAGTTTGTGGTCTCATTTAAAGTCTTTTTTTAAAAATACCAGAGGATGCGACACTCGCCTAAATCATAAATTTGAGGCTTCAAAATCGACCTCCATCTTTTATATACAGTCCATGCTAAACGCTAACTAGTGTGCTCTGATTGCAGCAAATCGAGGACTTCATGGACGTGAACGAGGGGGAGAAGGAGATCATGAAGCTGTGGAATCTGCACGTCATGAAGCGTGGGTATGTACTCGGCAAAGCTTTTATCAAACGGCAGAAGTTTTTTGGTTTATTTCAGGGTTTTTGTTTTTTAAACCTCACCTTATCCACTGGCGTCTTCCTCCCAGCTTCATCGCAGATAACCAGATGAACGAAGCGTGTCTGCTGTTTGCTGAACACCACGCCGCCTTCATCGTCAAACGCAACCTGTGCCGCAATTTCCTGCTCCATCTGATCAGCATGCATGACTTCAACCTGATCAGCACGCTGACCATCAACCAGGCCATGGCCCGGCTCTGCCTCGTCCAGAGCCAGGCCACCCACAGAGACAAAGAGGAGGACGACGAAGAGGAGGAGGAGGAGGACTGGGAGACGGCCGCGGAGTCCCAGCCGGAGCCGGATCCTGACCCCGATCCCGATCTGACGGAGTTTAAAACCTGCAGTACCGAGACCGCCAACAGCTCCCTGGAGACTGGAAACCAACTGATGGAGGACGGCGGCGAAAAGCCGCACGCCAAGCAGAAATTGTCCGGCTTCGGCTCGGTTTTAAAGTGACTGCTCGGCTGGAGCGCCACAAAGATTCCCGGACAGAGCGGGAAGACTGAGGCCTGAATCAGCAAACAGGTGTTAGACACACTCGGGTTACTGCAGGGATTCTCAAAGGCAGGTTACACCAGGATCAAAATGAACTTCACATCCTGGAAGTTACACATTCAAATCGAAGAGACGCTTTATGGTTTCACAGTTCATCAACGCTGAGATCTTTGAATTATTTTTTAATTATTTTCATGTTTTTTCCATGTTGTTTGTCCTGTTTCTGTAAATGTTTGAGTGTTTAACTCTGAGCTGCTCCAGTTTTATTTCCAGCCTGACACAGCTGTGGAGTGAGCACAAAGCAGGTTCGGTCTTAGGGCTGCAGGTGCAGAAGACGGTCGTACGCCTTCTGCAGATGACGAGTTGCCTTCAAAAGAGGCGTCAACATTTCATGCAGCAGCTGCGAATTCAAACAGGAGGAGATGGGCCGTCTGCTCGGGACTGTTTTCAGCAGCGGAGTGATCCGTATTTGGTGCTCTCTTTGGTGCTACTTTGCCTCTCGAGACTCTTCGTTGGTGCGCTGAGTCATTTTGTGTTCACTCCATCGTTCAAACCTCATGTCAGTCTTCCTCAGAGTGAAGCATCAATCAGTGACCTTCCGGGCACCCTCAGCTCCACCAAAGGTTTTCTTTTAGCAGGGAGTGTGTGCACATGCTCAGTGGTGTCAAGGTTACGGCGTCTGATTGGGTGTCAAGAGTGTTGCTGCAAAAGGAAATTTGACCCGTTATTATCAAGTAAGGTCAGGGTTGAACCGCTGATGGTCGGGAGGTGGCTGATCACAACTCGAGACGCCTGTTAGAGCTGTTGCTATCAGGTGTTTTTACCTGGAGACGCCACAAAGTTCGTATTAACGTGCTTGTTAGCTCAAACACGAGACAAAAGTCTCCGAGCTTTCTTTGATCGGGTCAATCAGGAAGTTAATCCTCAGGTTGGGTTAATTTTTGGCATCCAGTGATCATGAAAACAAGATAATATTAAATAAATGGTTAGTTTTTGCTGCAATGTTCTCGTTTTGTATGGTTAAAGATAAAGTGAAGACTTTTTTCCTTTGCAGGCGTTTTTCTCTCTTTTGCTGCTTTAGTTCAGCTCAAGCCGAGACGATGAAAACTGACTCCTGCCAACGAGTTTTATCTGGAAGTAAAAGGTTTTCGCTGGATCGTTAAAGGTTCCAGCTTCCTCTGTGTCGGATCTGAGGGTTTATTGAACCTGTGACTCTGCTGTACTCGTGGGCACACCTCCCCTACAGTTATGTTTTTCTTTAAACTACTGGTGCTAAATGTTTTTACTCCTCAGTGCATCTCCTTTCTTACAACAGATCTCCACTGCCAGCTCTCCAACAACGAGAAGCATGTTTAGTTGTCTGTTTCGTTTTTTTAAAGCGACTCTGTTTTTCCTACAGTGCTGTTTTTACCGTGCTCTGAGCCCAGGACAACAAAAAACACTTGCTGTGCAGCAAAACTGGACAAAAAAGCTCCTCAGAGCTCAGAGAGGCTTGGAAAGGCCACGTTCCTACTGTTGTAATCTAAAAAAAAAATTGATAACTATAGGGTTAAACTGTTTATGCAGGTGCTGGTTCCAGTTTCTTTAAAATAAGAAATTGCTGCTTTATTTTGAAATTATTATAAACTGAATAGTTTAAGTTTTGGACTGATACAAGTTTGGCTGGTCTGTTTTGTGTTTGTTTGTTTGTTTTCTTTTATTTGATCAATGAAATTGTTTAAAAAAAAAAAAAGAAAAGAGACAAGAAACAAGAAAAGCCACTTATAAAACGAATGGTTCCACAGGGTTGTGATGTCGCTGTATGGTGTGGTGTTAATGCAATATAAATAATGTTGCTCCAACCAAAAAAAACATGTTTTGATTAGGGGGGGAAAAACCACCTGGAAGTCTAAAGTTGGCTGGAGGAGGTGAGGGTGGATGGATCAAATCCAGGCCTTTCACACAGGACGTTTGGGGTTTGAGTCCACCATGATGTGAAAAGTTAGTACTGATTTATCACTTTTAGACCAAGCGACAGACTCGGAGACTGAAATAAGTATGAAAATGTGCAGTTCCTGTAGCGACCACCAGAGGCTCCTGCAGTGGATCAGTCTATGTTAAAATGTCCAACTTTAAGATGTTTAAATAAACATGTTTTCAGCCAGATATAAAATAAATAAATACATTTCTGGATGGTTTCTTCCTTCAGAAAAACTGCACAGCTTAAAGTGGCCACTTTTACGTGGGTCAAACCATCTACTTCATGTAGATGATGTCATCTCGCTTTCACATTTAGGCTAATGCTACGCAGCTTGGTTAGCACATTTCATATCCATAAAGTTGATACAGCACACAGACATGCATGTCTGTTAATTGGTGCTAAGAAACTCTCTAAAACTGGATGATTTTCCTTTTGCATTTTTGTTTATTAGAATTAGTCAGGTCCATGTTGACACAGGCAGCTGTAGATGTTAGCTCCTAGGGTGCACTGTATCCTTGCTAACCAAACTAGCTAGCATTAGCTGATAGCTTGGTACACCAGTTTTCATCCAGTCTTTTCACTTCTGGCTCCAAAAATCAACATTGTTGGAGGCCAAACTGTGAAGTCCAGAATCCAGCAGGTGAAGGCACAGTAACTTCGTCCATCTTTTAGCTTTCTTTACCCCCACGAATCTGCAAAATTGTGACATCACAACAGTGTGACTGGTCCTGGAGCAACATTAAAATGATGAGGGGACACCATGGCGGCACATGTAGTTACTGAACACGCCCACTACACCTGTTATATATAAATGTAAATATGACTGTAAAAAAAACAAACGATAGCTTTGTGATATGTATGTTTTTGAAACTCAAACACCATCAGTGACATTTTAGTAGGTATTTTTAGTTAAAGGACCAAATTGGGATTCATTTCCTGCAGATTTCTTTGCTCTTATGTGTCCTGCGTCATGTGACTCCTGGATCCCTGCTGCCGTCATTACTTTGACATTTAACCTCGAGAACACGCCGGGTAAAGATTAGATATGACAGACGAATCGCACCGGGAGCATTTCAGTCTCCACGGGCAATTTTATTTTGAAAATTAAAACCGTGCTCCTGTATAGACTGTATATGAATGTTGGATGCATCTATTGTGGACCCTCTGTGTAGGTTTTTCGCGAAACGACAGGAGTAGTAACTCCTGGAGTTCTTCCATTCTCCTGCAAGAGGGTCCCAAAAACACTCGAGGGCGCTGCCACACATTTGTAAATGAAAATATTTCATCACCCCACCCACTAGTAACAGAGTCAGGCAGTCCAGGTGCTGATGTTTTACCCGTGCCATTTTAGCCTAAATGCAGTACGAGCCTCCAGATGTGGGCAGCTGTGAGGCCATGGGAGCATAACGTCAGACATGATCATTTGGATGTATTTAGAGCTTATCGATCTTTTTTGTGGTGTTTTAAAAAGCTTTATGCCTGCTGGTGACTGATCCAGCCTGCTGAAACCTGCAGATCTGAAACCTTGTCTTTGTTCACGAGACCCAGCAGCGTTTTGCACAATACGGGAGGAGCCGTGTGGGCCAAACGAGACTTTTCTTTAACAATAATGTAAAACTAGTTCGAGTCACAATGGTTTTCTATTAAAAAGGACAATTTTGTAATAATATTGGCATCATGCTCCATTTCTTTCACCAAAGTACACGTCACTCACAGCTCGGTCACACTAGGTTCAAAATAGGACAACAGTGACTAAGTGTCGTCGTTTCAGGATTGCACTGATTTCATTTGCTGTCTGAGACTGATTGCAAGTACTTGCTGCGACCAGCTGATCGCCCAGAGCTGCAACGTCCCAAACGTCTGGGTGACTTTTGATCACAAAGTGATTGCACAGGTTGATTGCACGTGGCTCTTCCCTCTCATGTTGCTGGATTGAGAGCTCTGACTTTAAAGCTGTTGTTTGGTTTTTTTGATAAAGGCTGTTGTGTCTGATCTGGTACCTTTCATTTATAGACAAATGTTGATTTATATTTTCTATAAATTATATTATGGCTGGAGCATTCCCTGCATGATTGTTCCAATATAATATTGTACAACTTTTTGCAAAGACAAAAAAATCAAAGCAATCTGCATGCTGGGTTTTCAAATCTTCCAAGTATGAACGTTAACTGCTCACACGACAGTTGGTAACTACTTTTACTGCCCTCTCGTGTCTGCAGTGAGGAACTACAACACAAATGCAGGCAGCAGCATTTCTAAAATACAGCGACCAATAGAAGTGAAATAAGCTGATCTCGTTGCCATAGTGAAGACATAGTGAACACTGATGATCTTGATCATTGATATCTGCCAACTATAATCCAGATGCTGTCCCACATGTGACCTTAGTGACTCCCCACATGAGGTGAAACATCTTCATGAACAGCTGTCATCCACTCAAGACGGTGAAGACGATAAAGACGTCTTTATAGAGGTTTAACAAACTGATGTTGTGGTTCCTGTCGTGACCACTGGGGGCAGCACAGATTAGAATACATTTGCCCCTTAAACAGGGAAATTAAACTTTAAAAAACGTGCATTGATGTCATTGATGTCAAAACTGAGAATCACATGATGATCTTTATTGAACACAATGTGAAGAGACCAGCAGTGAACACACATGCAATACAAAGGTTTGACCAGCAGGTGTCACTGATGTGACTTTGACACAAACAGGTTTGTTTCCTCCACCTTCAGACGAAAAATAAAATAAAAGGGTTTTTTGAGGTTGCTGGTTTCCGGACTTTTGTACCATCAACTGGACCAAATCCAGAGTCCCACAGTTCTCTAAAAACACGCAACACTGTGCTCAGTTCTGCAGAAAAACAGGAGAACTTCTGTGAGCAACAAGCTGTCCCGGCCTGTCTTTGTATCAGCTGATAACAGATTACGCCAGGCGGCTGAAATGTGTCCAGACGTGTAATAAAAGCAAGACAAGTGAGCAGTTGCAGCAGATAAATCCTATGACAGTGTGTGTGCAGAACACGTATGTAAAAACAAAAAGCTACGCAGGAAAGCTCGCAATGTTAAGACATCTGAAGACATTTTTAAACCACATCAGGCCCTCTGCTCCACCAGAGTGCAAACATGAGCATGAAAAAAATTGGCAGGGCAGGAAAAACCATGGGGAAACTTCCTGTACATTACCACAGACTTTACTCCGTTTAGTTGACTGTTTTGTTAAAATGGCTGCTGGTTCGCTACTGAAAGAAATGATAACGGATCATTTGCCGTTTGACGCCCTCCTCCTGCTTTAAATACTGTCAGCAAGCTTAAAAGTAACCATGTAACTAAAAAAAGCAAAAACAGAATGAAACGCTCAGAGCGCCACCTGTCAGCCAGAAATCAGTCATCAGCTGTTAAATTGGGATGCATGATTCAGATTTCATTTTAAAGCCTCAGCGTCACATTTTGGATTTCTACATGTTGATCCAGGTCACATAGGTGACCGAGGTTAGAGTCAACATCAAGTCAAAAGTCCCCATAGACTCCCATCTGTACAGCAGAAAGACGTGTTTACAGCCTGCTGTCTGTCAGTTTTTAAGCCTCAACAAAATCTAAATGAGTTCAAAAAAATGTTATGAAGGAAAAATTGTGCACTGAGACCAAAACAGCGTCTGTATCAGGCTGTAAACATGTTTATTTCCGCTTTAAAGTTGCACATTTTTAACATGGGAGTCTATGGGGACTTTTGGAGACAACTAGTGGACGTTGGAGGAACTGCAGCTCGTGGCACTTTTTTAGCCCTGATAATCATCACTTTCAGCCACTGTAGACGTCTGATTTCATGCAGGACTCTAACCGCAGGCTAACATGTAAAGGTCCTGAAATGGAGCGCTTCACCTCAGATATTTCTGTGCTGCAGCCCTGAAGGATCCGATTGGTCAGAGCATTCTGAACGAGCCATTTTTATATGATGCCGACATGTGTGTGGGTTGCTGTTTCCAAACGCCACGTGGAGGTTTATGGATAAAATCTGATTCCTCAGGACTTTTACTGGTTTTGGTTTTATCCTCCTCTATAACCCGTGAAGTCCAAGTAACCCTAACCTGTAGTAACCATAGTAACCCTGTGCTATGAAATTATGCGATTTTCTCAGAAGTCAAACGCCAAAAACGACAGTCCTTTTAATCATGTCCAAACCTCAGGGTTAGGGGCTCGAGCTACTTCTCATTATCTCTGATGACTTAATAGTGCGTCCACATCAAACAAAGGCTTTGCAGAGGTCATGGCTGCCACTCAGAAATGCAGGACGAGGTTTCTAAAAGTGAAGGGTAAACCATGTAACGTGATATCAGGGTGAATGCTGTGGGGTTCTGAGCGGCTGCAAAGTGGTTCACCCTCCATTTGGTGTGAACACATGAGACCTCACTGGGTAAATGTGCAGATGGAGGACGGCTGAGCTCAATCAGTGTTACTCAGAAAGTGAGAGGACTGCAGGAGAGAGGACAGTTTGTCCTCAGACTGAAACTCTGTCCATGGCCTCGATTACAAACAGCAGAAACCGTCACTGCAGAACCGAGCCGAAGACAGGAGCTGCAGTTTGTGACAAGCAGAAGGAAACGTCGGCAGACGCCGCCGGTTGAAAACTCGCTCCAGCGAGGAAACTCCAGAAGAGAAAGGCTCCTGTTTGAGCTTCAACCCAACAGACGTGCGAGCGGCTTTTTTGTGTGTGTGAGGTGAAAAAAAGAGGAGCAGAAATGTTTGGACTGGGACGCCGGAGGAGCCGGCGTCTTAAAACACGAGCACCTTCCAGCCGGAGTGGACGAAGGAGCAGCCGAAGAAGAGGCAGTCCACCGGCTGGTCCACCAGCCAATCGAACACCACCTCGCGGTTCCCCGAGCCGATCGTCACCCTCAGCTTGAAGTTGCCGCCCTCGCTCGTGTTGTTGTTGCTGATGGGGAACAGGCTCACCACCTCCATGTCAAAGGTCACGGCGGAGCCAACGGTGACGGCGGGCAGCTGGTTGGTCATCTCTTTCCCGTTGACGAAAACGGCACCTGAGGAGAAGAAGTTTGAGAGAATTCAACATTTGTTATTTATCATAAAAAAGAATCGAAGCTGAACTTTAGTTAAATTGAAGTTTGAAGTTTAATTTTCAAGCATCTCGTTTAAATGCTTCCCACAGAGGAATTCTACACTTCAGGAGGTTTTCCCACTCTCCTGTTTTCAGCTTCGGTGATTTTGCTTTAAGTCTCTTTGTCTCCTCGTCTCCGACGATGCTCTGCTCTTTGCTTCCACAGAAACAGTCTGAGTTGATTTGCCTGAAACTCGTCTCCAGACTGTTTCTTCATCTTTGCAGCATCACCAGTTCTTCTTCTTCGACATCTGGTGGGGTTCTTTTTAATTTAATTTTGGCTCCACCTTTCAGTGAGAGGCTTCAAACATTATACATCCCATAACTGGGAATAAATTAAATTATGGTCCATACTCACAATCCTGCCCGGAAATCTAATCCCTATAATGGCTCCATCTCCCACCAGGAGGGAAACCATTGATCTAAAACATGGCGTCCACACAGAAGCCTCATCAAGAGAAACCTTTCAAAGTATCAGAGCATCAGAACTTGAAGGAAATGACTTTTCAGATCTGATCAACAGAAATTAGAGACTTCAAGAGCAGTTTTTGGAATAATGGAATCTAAACAGTCTGCAGCCTGTTTTTATACTTCGATGAAGCTTAAAGTGCCGCTGTAGGAAAACAGTAGCGTGGTAGTTAGTCCCTGTGGATCCGCCATCTGATAGTGACTCCTCCCATTTTAAAGCCTCGACTTTAAACATTGTGTTTAAATGTGTCTAAACAAGAACAATTTGCACTGGCCTCATCATTTATTTACAGTCTTTGAAAAGGACCCATTAGAAATGAATCCGCCACTGAAAATAGTCCCTGACAAGTGCACTATTGTCTCTGGTGTAATTCAGTTTTGTTTGTATTTCACCGATTCACAACTGCAGTCGCCTCAAGGTGCTTGGATTAATACAGAGAAATCCCAACAATCAAACGACCCCCTTTGAGAAAGCACTTGGCGACTGTGGGAAGGAAAAACTCCCCTTTAACAGGAAGAAACCGGCTGGGGGTGAGAGCCTTTCTTATCTGCCAAAAAACAAACATTTTCGAGGAGACTAACGACTTTCAGGCTCGAATCCTCAGCTGTGAGCCACGCAGACTCGCCCTGTACAAGCTGAGTTTTTCAAGTCTATCTGAGGCGGCGTACCATTGGTGGAAATGCAGACAGCCTGGTCCCGCTGTAGTGACTCCTCCTCACTCTCGCTGTCTATGCACACGCCCAGACTGTCCCTCCGATCCATCTGACCCGCTGCAGAGATCCTGCACAGACACACAAAAACACGCCGTTAGCATCTAACTGTGGATTTACATATGATCTGTACGTGACGTCCAGGAGAGAAATGGAAAGATCTCCATCTTTAAAGCTTTGTTGTGGGCGTACTTGAACGTGAGCGTCTGGCCGCAGAAGTAGGTGGGCGCTTTGGAGTAGAGGACAGGGCAGCGCGATTGGGAGGAGTCATTGCGCAGAGCGATGTTCTTCCTGCTGCTCAGGATGTAGCCCTCGGTCCCTGAACGCCACTCTGGAAGATAAAACAAACACACAGCGTTCGTTAGCGGACCT